ACATGCAGATGCTTTTCTGGGCGTCAGATCATTTGAGCTGAGACCACTTTGGCCCATGTCTGTGTCATCAGAAAAGGAATACACTCACTCATCCGTAGACGAGTGTGTCACCGACTTAAGACCACATTCTCCCGAGTCGGTCTCATCTCAAAGTGAACTTAGACCCCTCTCTCCTGACTCACCTGTTCCTCAGTTCAGATGTCCCCATGTTGTTTACGATATGGAATTGTCAAGACACAGGTCGTTTACCCCAGAATCAACATTTTCTGACTGGGAAGGTACTGATTTGTGTCTGGAAACCCTATTTGATGAGAATAGACCAGAGTCTCCGCAGTCAGTTTCATCAGACTTTGAACTTGATAAGTTATTTAGTAGCAGGGCGTTGTCCCCAGAATCTGTGTCTTCCGATTTGGACTTTTCTCTTATTCAGGACTGGTTGTTAGACTTTAGAGCATCCTCCCCAGAATCTGTTGTGTCATTTGATCAGCGCTGTTTGTATCCTCGGATGACATTTGGCCAGATTAATAGTCAACATTGTAACTATTACTTACAGTACTCTGAAAGTAGACCCGTATCACCTATTTCAACAACGTCAGATGTTGAGTATTCTGGATTTTATCTTGAGGACTTGTTTGACGACAGCAGACCAGATTCACCAGACTCATTTTCTTCACAGATTGAAAATAAGCAAACAGGCGTAACTGTGACCACATCTCCACCACTTTCTGCTGCCAGACCTTATACATATGCAGATATTGTGCGGGGCATTACACATGAAAACATGCTGATGCGTTTTTGGGCGTCAGATCATTTGAGCTGAGACCACTTTGGCCCATGTCTGTGTCATCAGAAAAGGAATACACTCACTCATCCGTAGACAAGTGTATCACCGACTTAAGACCACATTCTCCCGAGTCGGTCTCATCTCAAAGTGAACTTAGACCCCTCTCTCCTGACTCACCTGTTCCTCAGTTCAGATGTCCCCATGTTGTTTACGATATGGAATTGTCAAGACACAGGTCGTTTACCCCAGAATCAACATTTTCTGACTGGGAAGGTACTGATTTGTGTCTGGAAACCCTATTTGATGAGAATAGACCAGAGTCTCCGCAGTCAGTTTCATCAGACTTTGAACTTGATAAGTTATTTAGTAGCAGGGCCTTGTCCCCGGAATCCGTGTCTTCCGATTTTGACTTTTCTCTCATTCAGGACTGGTTGTTAGACTTCAGAGCATCCTCCCCGGAATCTGTTGTGTCATTTGATCAGCGCTGTTTGTATCCTCGGATGACATTTGGCCAGATTAATAGTCAACATTGTAACTATTACTTACAGTACTCTGAAAGTAGACCCGTATCACCTATTTCAACAACGTCAGATGTTGAGTATTCTGGATTTTATCTTGAGGACTTGTTTGACGACAGCAGACCAGATTCACCAGACTCATTTTCTTCACAGATTGAAAATAAGCAAACAGGCGTAACTGTGACCACATCTCCACCACTTTCTGCTGCCAGACCTTATACATATGCAGATATTGTGAGGGGCATTACACATGAAAACATGCTGATGCGTTTTTGGGCGTCAGATCATTTGAGCTGAGACCACTTTGGCCCATGTCTGTGTCATCAGAAAAGGGAATACACTCACTCATCCGTAGACAAGTGTATCACCGACTTAAGACCACATTCTCCCGAGTCGGTCTCATCTCAAAGTGAACTTAGACCCCTCTCTCCTGACTCATCTGTTCCTCAGTTCAGATGTCCCCATGTTGTTTATGATATGGAATTGTCAAGACACAGGTCGTTGACCCCAGAATCAACATTTTCTGACTGGGAAGGTACTGATTTGTGTCTGGAAACCCTATTTGATGAGAATAGACCAGAGTCTCCGCAGTCAGTTTCATCAGACTTTGAACTTGATAAGTTATTTAGTAGCAGGGCCTTGTCCCCGAATCCGTGTCTTCCGAGTTTGACTTTTCTCTCATTCAGGACTGTTTGTTAGACTTCAGAGCATCCTCCCCAGAATCTGTTGTGTCATTTGATCAGCGCTGTTTGTATCCTCGGATGACATTTGGCCAGATTAATAGTCAACATTGTAACTATTACTTACAGTACTCTGAAAGTAGACCCGTATCACCTATTTCAACAACGTCAGATGTTGAGTATTCTGGATTTTATCTTGAGGACTTGTTTGACGACAGCAGACCAGATTCACCAGACTCATTTTCTTCACAGATTGAAAATAAGCAAACAGGCGTAACTGTGACCACATCTCCACCACTTTCTGCTGCCAGACCTTATACATATGCAGATATTGTGCGGGGCATTACACATGAAAAACATGCTGATGCGTTTTTGGGCGTCAGATCATTTGAGCTGAGACCACTTTGGCCCATGTCTGTGTCATCAGAAAAGGAATACACTCACTCATCCGTAGACAAGTGTATCACCGACTTAAGACCACATTCTCCCGAGTCGGTCTCATCTCAAAGTGAACTTAGACCCCTCTCTCCTGACTCACCTGTTCCTCAGTTCAGATGTCCCCATGTTGTTTACGATATGGAATTGTCAAGACACAGGTCGTTTACCCCAGAATCAACATTTTCTGACTGGGAAGGTACTGATTTGTGTCTGGAAACCCTATTTGATGAGAATAGACCAGAGTCTCCGCAGTCAGTTTCATCAGACTTTGAACTTGATAAGTTATTTAGTAGCAGGGCCTTGTCCCCGGAATCCGTGTCTTCCGAGTTTGACTTTTCTCTCATTCAGGACTGGTTGTTAGACTTCAGAGCATCCTCCCCGGAATCTGTTGTGTCATTTGATCAGCGCTGTTTGTATCCTCGGATGACATTTGGCCAGATTAATAGTCAACATTGTAACTATTACTTACAGTACTCTGAAAGTAGACCCGTATCACCTATTTCAACAACGTCAGATGTTGAGTATTCTGGATTTTATCTTGAGGACTTGTTTGACGACAGCAGACCAGATTCACCAGACTCATTTTCTTCACAGATTGAAAATAGGCAAACAGGCGTAACTGTGACCACATCTCCACCACTTTCTGCTGCCAGACCTTATACATATGCAGATATTGTGCGGGGCATTACACATGAAAAACATGCTGATGCGTTTTTGGGCGTCAGATCATTTGAGCTGAGACCACTTTGGCCCATGTCTGTGTCATCAGAAAAGGAATACACTCACTCATCCGTAGACGAGTGTGTCACCTACTTAAGACCACATTCTCCTGAGTCGGTCTCATCTCAAAGTGAACTTAGACCCCTCTCTCCTGACTCACCTGTTCCTCAGTTCAGATGTCCCCATGTTGTTTACGATATGGAATTGTCAAGACACAGGTCGTTTACCCCAGAATCAACATTTTCTGACTGGGAAGGTACTGATTTGTGTCTGGAAACCCTATTTGATGAGAATAGACCAGAGTCTCCGCAGTCAGTTTTATCAGACTTTGAACTTGATAAGTTATTTAGTAGCAGGGCGTTGTCCCCGGAATCCGTGTCTTCCGATTTTGACTTTTCTCTCATTCAGGACTGGTTGTTAGACTTCAGAGCATCCTCCCCGGAATATGTTGTGTCAGCTGAGCAGTGGTGTTTGTCTCCTCCCATGACATTTGGCCAGGTTAGACCCCTTTCTCCTGACTCACCTATTCCTCAGTTCAGTTTTCCCCATGTTTACGATATGGAATTGTCAAGACACAGGTCGTTTACCCCAGAATCAACATTTTCTGACTGGGAAGGTACTGATTTGTGTCTGGAAACCCTATTTGATGAGAATAGACCAGAGTCTCCGCAGTCAGTTTCATCAGACTTTGAACTTGATAAGTTATTTAGTAGCAGGGCCTTGTCCCCGGAATCCGTGTCTTCCGATTTTGACTTTTCTCTCATTCAGGACTGGTTGTTAGACTTCAGAGCATCCTCCCGGAATCTGTTGTGTCATTTGATCAGCGCTGTTTGTATCCTCGGATGACATTTGGCCAGATTAATAGTCAACATTGTAACTATTACTTACAGTACTCTGAAAGTAGACCCGTATCACCTATTTCAACAACGTCAGATGTTGAGTATTCTGGATTTTATCTTGAGGACTTGTTTGACGACAACAGACCAGATTCACCAGACTCATTTTCTTCACGGATTGAAAATAAGCAAACAGGCGTAACTGTGACCACATCTCCACCACTTTCTGCTGCCAGACCTTATACATATGCAGATATTGTGCGGGGCATTACACATGAAAAACATGCTGATGCGTTTTTGGGCGTCAGATCATTTGAGCTGAGACCACTTTGGCCCATGTCTGTGTCATCAGAAAAGGAATACACTCACTCATCCGTAGACGAGTGTGTCACCGACTTAAGACCACATTCTCCTGAGTCGGTCTCATCTCAAAGTGAACTTAGACCCCTCTCTCCTGATTCACCTGTTCCTCAGTTCAGATGTCCCCATGTTGTTTACGATATGGAATTGTCAAGACACAGGTCGTTTACCCCAGAATCAACATTTTCTGACTGGGAAGGTACTGATTTGTGTCTGGAAACCCTATTTGATGAGAATAGACCAGAGTCTCCGCAGTCAGTTTTATCAGACTTTGAACTTGATAAGTTATTTAGTAGCAGGGCGTTGTCCCCGGAATCCGTGTCTTCCGATTTTGACTTTTCTCTTATTCAGGACTGGTTGTTAGACTTTAGAGCATCCTCCCCAGAATCTGTTGTGTCATTTGATCAGCGCTGTTTGTATCCTCGGATGACATTTGGCCAGATTAATAGTCAACATTGTAACTATTACTTACAGTACTCTGAAAGTAGACCCGTATCACCTATTTCAACAACGTCAGATGTTGAGTATTCTGGATTTTATCTTGAGGACTTGTTTGACGACAACAGACCAGATTCACCAGACTCATTTTCTTCACGGATTGAAAATAAGCAAACATGCGTAACTGTGACCACATCTCCACCACTTTCTGCTGCCAGACCTTATACATATGCAGATATTGTGAGGGGCATTACACATGAAAAACATGCTGATGCGTTTTTGGGCATCAGATCATTTGAGCTGAGACCACTTTGGCCCATGTCTGTGTCATCAGAAAAGGAATACACTCACTCATCCGTAGACAAGTGTGTCACCGACTTAAGATCACATTCTCCCGAGTCGGTCTCAGTTCAAAGTGAACTTAGACCCCTCTCTCCTGACTCACCTGTTCCTCAGTTCAGATGTCCCCATGTTGTTTACGATATGGAATTGTCAAGACACAGGTCGTTTACCCCAGAATCAACATTTTCTGACTGGGAAGGTACTGATTTGTGTCTGGAAACCCTATTTGATGAGAATAGACCAGAGTCTCCGCAGTCAGTTTTATCAGACTTTGAACTTGATAAGTTATTTAGTAGCAGGGCGTTGTCCCCGGAATCCGTGTCTTCCGATTTTGACTTTTCTCTCATTCAGGACTGGTTGTTAGACTTCAGAGCATCCTCCCCGGAATATGTTGTGTCAGCTGAGCAGTGGTGTTTGTCTCCTCCCATGACATTTGGCCAGGTTAGACCCCTTTCTCCTGACTCACCTATTCCTCAGTTCAGTTTTCCCCATGTTTACGATATGGAATTGTCAAGACACAGGTCGTTTACCCCAGAATCAACATTTTCTGACTGGGAAGGTACTGATTTGTGTCTGGAAACCCTATTTGATGAGAATAGACCAGAGTCTCCGCAGTCAGTTTCATCAGACTTTGAACTTGATAAGTTATTTAGTAGCAGGGCCTTGTCCCCGGAATCCGTGTCTTCCGATTTTGACTTTTCTCTCATTCAGGACTGGTTGTTAGACTTCAGAGCATCCTCCCCGGAATCTGTTGTGTCATTTGATCAGCGCTGTTTGTATCCTCGGATGACATTTGGCCAGATTAATAGTCAACATTGTAACTATTACTTACAGTACTCTGAAAGTAGACCCGTATCACCTATTTCAACAACGTCAGATGTTGAGTATTCTGGATTTTATCTTGAGGACTTGTTTGACGACAACAGACCAGATTCCCCAGACTCATTTTCTTCACGGATTGAAAATAAGCAAACAGGCGTAACTGTGACCACATCTCCACCACTTTCTGCTGCCAGACCTTATACATATGCAGATATTGTGCGGGGCATTACACATGAAAAACATGCTGATGCGTTTTTGGGCGTCAGATCATTTGAGCTGAGACCACTTTGGCCCATGTCTGTGTCATCAGAAAAGGAATACACTCACTCATCCGTAGACGAGTGTGTCACCGACTTAAGACCACATTCTCCTGAGTCGGTCTCATCTCAAAGTGAACTTAGACCCCTCTCTCCTGATTCACCTGTTCCTCAGTTCAGATGTCCCCATGTTGTTTACGATATGGAATTGTCAAGACACAGGTCGTTTACCCCAGAATCAACATTTTCTGACTGGGAAGGTACTGATTTGTGTCTGGAAACCCTATTTGATGAGAATAGACCAGAGTCTCCGCAGTCAGTTTTATCAGACTTTGAACTTGATAAGTTATTTAGTAGCAGGGCGTTGTCCCCGGAATCCGTGTCTTCCGATTTTGACTTTTCTCTTATTCAGGACTGGTTGTTAGACTTTAGAGCATCCTCCCCAGAATCTGTTGTGTCATTTGATCAGCGCTGTTTGTATCCTCGGATGACATTTGGCCAGATTAATAGTCAACATTGTAACTATTACTTACAGTACTCTGAAAGTAGATCCGTATCACCTATTTCAACAACGTCAGATGTTGAGTATTCTGGATTTTATCTTGAGGACTTGTTTGACGACAACAGACCAGATTCACCAGACTCATTTTCTTCACGGATTGAAAATAAGCAAACATGCGTAACTGTGACCACATCTCCACCACTTTCTGCTGCCAGACCTTATACATATGCAGATATTGTGAGGGGCATTACACATGAAAAACATGCTGATGCGTTTTTGGGCATCAGATCATTTGAGCTGAGACCACTTTGGCCCATGTCTGTGTCATCAGAAAAGGAATACACTCACTCATCCGTAGACAAGTGTGTCACCGACTTAAGATCACATTCTCCCGAGTCGGTCTCAGCTCAAAGTGAACTTAGACCCCTCTCTCCTGACTCACCTGTTCCTCAGTTCAGATGTCCCCATGTTGTTTACGATATGGAATTGTCAAGACACAGGTCGTTTACCCCAGAATCAACATTTTCTGACTGGGAAGGTACTGATTTGTGTCTGGAAACCCTATTTGATGAGAATAGACCAGAGTCTCCGCAGTCAGTTTTATCAGACTTTGAACTTGATAAGTTATTTAGTAGCAGGGCGTTGTCCCCGGAATCCGTGTCTTCCGATTTTGACTTTTCTCTCATTCAGGACTGGTTGTTAGACTTCAGAGCATCCTCCCCGGAATATGTTGTGTCAGCTGAGCAGTGGTGTTTGTCTCCTCCCATGACATTTGGCCAGGTTAGACCCCTTTCTCCTGACTCACCTATTCCTCAGTTCAGTTTTCCCCATGTTTACGATATGGAATTGTCAAGACACAGGTCGTTTACCCCAGAATCAACATTTTCTGACTGGGAAGGTACTGATTTGTGTCTGGAAACCCTATTTGATGAGAATAGACCAGAGTCTCCGCAGTCAGTTTCATCAGACTTTGAACTTGATAAGTTATTTAGTAGCAGGGCCTTGTCCCCGGAATCCGTGTCTTCCGATTTTGACTTTTCTCTCATTCAGGACTGGTTGTTAGACTTCAGAGCATCCTCCCGGAATCTGTTGTGTCATTTGATCAGCGCTGTTTGTATCCTCGGATGACATTTGGCCAGATTAATAGTCAACATTGTAACTATTACTTACAGTACTCTGAAAGTAGACCCGTATCACCTATTTCAACAACGTCAGATGTTGAGTATTCTGGATTTTATCTTGAGGACTTGTTTGACGACAGCAGACCAGATTCACCAGACTCATTTTCTTCACAGATTGAAAATAAGCAAACAGGCGTAACTGTGACCACATCTCCACCACTTTCTGCTGCCAGACCTTATACATATGCAGATATTGTGCGGGGCATTACACATGAAAAACATGCTGATGCGTTTTTGGGCGTCAGATCATTTGAGCTGAGACCACTTTGGCCCATGTCTGTGTCATCAGAAAAGGAATACACTCACTCATCCGTAGACAAGTGTATCACCGACTTAAGACCACATTCTCCCGAGTCGGTCTCATCTCAAAGTGAACTTAGACCCCTCTCTCCTGACTCACCTGTTCCTCAGTTCAGATGTCCCCATGTTGTTTACGATATGGAATTGTCAAGACACAGGTCGTTTACCCCAGAATCAACATTTTCTGACTGGGAAGGTACTGATTTGTGTCTGGAAACCCTATTTGATGAGAATAGACCAGAGTCTCCGCAGTCAGTTTTATCAGACTTTGAACTTGATAAGTTATTTAGTAGCAGGGCGTTGTCCCCGGAATCCGTGTCTTCCGATTTTGACTTTTCTCTCATTCAGGACTGGTTGTTAGACTTCAGAGCATCCTCCCCGGAATCTGTTGTGTCATTTGATCAGCGCTGTTTGTATCCTCGGATGACATTTGGCCAGATTAATAGTCAACATTGTAACTATTACTTACAGTACTCTGAAAGTAGACCCGTATCACCTATTTCAACAACGTCAGATGTTGAGTATTCTGGATTTTATCTTGAGGACTTGTTTGACGACAACAGACCAGATTCACCAGACTCATTTTCTTCACGGATTGAAAATAAGCAAACAGGCGTAACTGTGACCACATCTCCACCACTTTCTGCTGCCAGACCTTATACATATGCAGATATTGTGCGGGGCATTACACATGAAAAACATGCTGATGCGTTTTTGGGCGTCAGATCATTTGAGCTGAGACCACTTTGGCCCATGTCTGTGTCATCAGAAAAGGAATACACTCACTCATCCGTAGACGAGTGTGTCACCGACTTAAGACCACATTCTCCTGAGTCGGTCTCATCTCAAAGTGAACTTAGACCCCTCTCTCCTGATTCACCTGTTCCTCAGTTCAGATGTCCCCATGTTGTTTACGATATGGAATTGTCAAGACACAGGTCGTTTACCCCAGAATCAACATTTTCTGACTGGGAAGGTACTGATTTGTGTCTGGAAACCCTATTTGATGAGAATAGACCAGAGTCTCCGCAGTCAGTTTTATCAGACTTTGAACTTGATAAGTTATTTAGTAGCAGGGCGTTGTCCCCGGAATCCGTGTCTTCCGATTTTGACTTTTCTCTCATTCAGGACTGGTTGTTAGACTTCAGAGCATCCTCCCCGGAATATGTTGTGTCAGCTGAGCAGTGGTGTTTGTCTCCTCCCATGACATTTGGCCAGGTTAGACCCCTTTCTCCTGACTCACCTATTCCTCAGTTCAGTTTTCCCCATGTTTACGATATGGAATTGTCAAGACACAGGTCGTTTACCCCAGAATCAACATTTTCTGACTGGGAAGGTACTGATTTGTGTCTGGAAACCCTATTTGATGAGAATAGACCAGAGTCTCCGCAGTCAGTTTCATCAGACTTTGAACTTGATAAGTTATTTAGTAGCAGGGCCTTGTCCCCGGAATCCGTGTCTTCCGATTTTGACTTTTCTCTCATTCAGGACTGGTTGTTAGACTTCAGAGCATCCTCCCCGGAATCTGTTGTGTCATTTGATCAGCGCTGTTTGTATCCTCGGATGACATTTGGCCAGATTAATAGTCAACATTGTAACTATTACTTACAGTACTCTGAAAGTAGACCCGTATCACCTATTTCAACAACGTCAGATGTTGAGTATTCTGGATTTTATCTTGAGGACTTGTTTGACGACAACAGACCAGATTCACCAGACTCATTTTCTTCACGGATTGAAAATAAGCAAACAGGCGTAACTGTGACCACATCCTGGACCGTACTCTGATTTTATATCTGAATTTTCAGAGTTTCTATCAAGCTTAGTCCTTAAATCAGATAAAGTAATTATTGTAGGTGATTTTAATATTCATGTGGATGTTGACAATGACAGCCTTAGTAATGCATTTATATCATTAATAGACTCAATTGGCTTCTGTCAGAGTGTAAATAAACCAACTCATTGTTTTAATCACACTCTTGACCTTGTTTTATCATATGGCATTGATATTGAACATTTAATAGTCTTCCCACATAATCCTTTCCTATCTGACCATTATTTAGTAACTTTTGAATTCATACTATTAGATTATAAGCCATTAGGCAAAACTTCCTACAGCAGATGTTTATCTGACAGTGCTGTAGCTAAATTTAAGGAGGAGATTCCTTCAGTGTTTAATTCAATGCCATGTCTGAATTTAACAGAGTCCTATAACAACTTTAGTCCCTCTGAAATTGATAATCTTGTCGATAGTGCTACAGGCTCACTACGATCAACATTAGACTCTATCGCTCCTATAAAAGGAAATTATTAAAACATAGGAGACTAGCACCTTGGTATAACCACCAAACCCGCCAGTTAAAGCAAATAGCTAGGAAATCTGAAAGGAAATGGCGCTCTTCCAAATTATCAGAATATCGCTCAAATTGGCAAGATGATCTTAAGATTTATAGAAAGGCCCTCCGTAATGCCAGAGGAGCCTATTACTCAGCACTAATAGAAGAAAATAAGAACAACCCTAGGTTCCTCTTCAGCACTGTAGCCAGGCTGACAGAGAGTCACAGCTCTATCGAGCCACATATCCCCATAAACTTAAGTAGCAATGACTTCATGAGCTTCTTCTATAATAAAATTATTACTATTAGAGAAAAAATTAATCACCAACTGCCATCAACAGTTATCAGTGGCTCTCCAAGTTCAGGGACTTCTGTCAATGTAAACTTAGATGTATATTTAGACTGTTTTTCTGCTATCGATCTTCATCAGTTAACTTCAATCATTTCTTCATCGAAGCCATCAACCTGTCTGTTAGACCCGATCCCAACTAGGCTGCTTAAAGAAGTTGTTCCCTTAATTGGCACTTCTTTACTGGATATGATTAATCTTTCTTTATTATCAGGATATGTACCACAGTCCTTTAAAGTAGCTGTAATTAAACCCCTTCTTAAAAAGTCTACTCTTGACCCAGGGGTTTTAGCCAACTATAGACCGATTTCTAACCTCCCGTTCCTCTCTAAGATTCTGGAGAAAGTAGTCGCCAAAGAGTTGTGTGACTTTCTACATAACAATAGTTTATTTGAGGATTTTCAGTCAGGATTTAGAGTTCATCATAGCACAGAGACAGCTCTGGTTAAAGTTAATAATGACCTTCTGACTGCTTCTGACAATGGACTTGTCTCTGTACTTGTATTATTAGATCTTAGTGCTGCATTTGACACCATTGACCATGATATTCTTTTACAGAGACTTGAGCATCAAATTGGCATTAAAGGAACTGCCCTAACCTGGTTTAAGTCATACTTATCAGATCGTACTCAGTTTGTACATGTTAACGATGAATCCTCCATAAATACTAAAGTTAGTCATGGAGTTCCACAAGGTTCTGTACTTGGACCAATACTATTTACTTTATATATGCTCCCTTTAGGCAACATTATTAGGAATCACTCCATTAACTTTCACTGTTATGCAGATGATACGCAGTTATATCTATCAATCAAACCCAATGAAATTAATCAATTATCTAAATTACAAACATGTCTTAAGGACATAAAATCCTGGATGACCTGCAATTTTCTGATGTTAAACTCAGAAAAAACCGAAATTCTTGTTCTTGGCCCCAAAAACCTTAGAGACTCATTGTCTAAAGATATAGTCACTCTAGATGGCATTAACTTGGCCTCTAGCACCACTGTCAGGAATCTTGGAGTTATCTTTGATCAGGATTTGTCATTTAACTCCCACATAAAGCAGACCTCTAGGACTGCCTTCTTTCATTTACGTAATATTAGAAAAATTAGACACATACTATCACAGACAGATGCAGAAAAACTAATCCATGCATTTGTTACTTCAAGGCTGGATTACTGCAACTCTTTATTATCAGGTTGCCCCAATAAGTCCATTAAAACGCTCCAATTAATTCAGAACGCTGCAGCACGAGTACTGACAGGAACTAGAAAAAGAGATCACATCTCTCCTGTACTAGCTACTCTGCATTGGCTCCCTATAAAATGTAGAATTGAATTTAAAATACTCCTCCTCACCTATAAAGCTCTTCATGGTCAGGCCCCTTCATATCTTAAAGAGCTCATAGTACCCTATTACCCCACTAGAACACTACGTTCTCTGAATGCTGGGCTACTTGTGGTTCCTATAGTCTCTAAAAGTAGAACAGGAGCCAGAGCCTTCAGTTACCAAGCTCCTCTCCTGTGGAACCGGCTTCCAGTTGTGGTTCGGGAGGCAGACACCCTCACCACTTTCAAGAGTAGGCTTAAGACATTCCTCTTTGATAAAGCT